GACGTTATTGAAGAGATATCGTGGTGACCCTGGTGACCCTGTCGGTGTCACTGGTGACCCTGTGGTGTCATTGGTGTCACCGCGGTGTCATTGGTGACCCTGTGGTGACCCCGGTGTCGCCGTGGTGTCATTGTCGCTGTCACTGTGGTGACCCCGGTGTCGCTGTGGTGACCCTGTGGTGACCCCGGTGTCGCTGTGGTGACCCTGTGGTGACATTGGTGTCGCTGTGGTGTCATTGGTGACCCTGTGGTGACCCCGGTGTCACTGCGGTGTCATTGGTGACCCTGTGGTGACCCCGGTGTCGCTGTGGTGTCATTGTCACTGTCACTGTGGTGACCCCGGTGTCGCCGTCGCCGTCCCCAGGAGCGTTACAGCGCCCGGGACCTGCAGGGGCTCACGGTGGAGCACGACCCGGCCTCGATCCCCGAGGGACAAACGCTGGTGCTGACCCTCAAGGACAGGGGTGGGTGGGGACACCCGGGGGGCACCCGGGGGGCACAGGGAGGGTCCATGGGTGTCTCCTTGTCCAGGGTGTCCCCTCACTGTCCCCGTGTCCCCCCCGTGTCCCCCCAGGTGTGCTGGAGGCCGGCGAGGACGTTCTGGAGCAGGTGGCCCTGGCGGCCGTGGCCAAGGCCCGCGAGGAGCAGGAGCAGCGGCGGCGGCGCCCGAACTACGACCCCTACGGCGACAGCGAGCCCGGGGCGGCGGTACGGCCGCGATATATCGCGATAGAGCCCGGGAACAGCCCCGTGCACTGCCCTATATCGCGATAGAGCCCGGGAACAGCCCCGTGCACTGCCCTATATCGCGATAGAGCCCGGGAACGGCACTGTACACTGCCCTATATCGCGATAGAGCCCGGGAACGGCACTGTACACTGCCCTATATCGCGATAGAGCCCGGGAATGGCCCCGTGCACTGCCCTATATCGCGATAGAGCCGGGGAACGGCACTGTACACTGCCCTATATCGCGATAGAGCCCGGGAATGGCCCCGTGCACTGCCCTATATCGCGATAGAGCC